GGAGGGGGGGGGGTGGAGTTCCTTTTTGTCTTCTAGAGGAGTTTGGGGCGCAACTGCCAAGTAAGTCTGTCAGAGACAAATTCAAGATTAAAACCCAACGAGTATAAAGTTGTAAGTTCTTTAAAAGTTATAAGGAATAACAATGTATAACCCTCTAAAAATAAAAGTCCAAAAATATACTATAGTTATGTGTGTGTATATATATATGTGTATATTTTTGTATGTTATATACAAAGAATATATAATTTTTTACACTTTTGCGACTATCGAATTTATATATTTTTGGCCACGGGCTAAAATAATCTTTGCCAAAAATTACGTAGGATCAAAACGATTTCTCACATGTATTTATGATTTATGCTGAAAATAATGAATTCAGTTAAACCCGATTTCAACAATCTAGGTATAACTCTAAGAGCCTATAAATAGTTTGGGAGGAGAAAACAAAAAAGGGTAGAACTTTACAAGAAACTGTATATTTAGACGATATAAGGTGGACTTAATTATAACACTTAATTAAACTGCAACTACAATCAATTATTGTAATCTGTTTAATTGGTTTATTTCAAATGGGAAATTCCATATGACCAAACCAAGCAAAGTCACATTGTCAACACGTGTGGTGGCACTAGATAGGGTTAATTAGCACACATGTTCTGTCTCCAATCATTTTTTAGCTTTTCTTTTGTTTTCACTTAAAATATCACCTAACATATCACTACAGTATATAATTAGTTTGTTCCCACAACTAAATTTAGATTTCGAAACTAAAATGACTAATCAAATCTATGTTATAGGTGTATAGGTCCAAATTTTGGCGATTCGGTGGTAACGGATAAGTAAGACAAATGACGGGATCAACCATGATATAATGATTGAAGGTTGCTCTCACAGGCTGGTGCCAAAAGTAGGCAGCCGAGGTGAGAAAATAACGGTAGCATAGGTCCACTTGTAGACATAAAGAATATTCCTTTGGATATTCTTTATGCTGTACTTTTTAGGGTTTTTGGGGAATATCCCTTATAAATAGGAAGAGATAAGAAACAAAAAGGGGATCTTCTTCTTGACTCTCTGATAAGAATACATTGTAAAGGCTGAGAAAAGAGAATATCCAAAAGTTTTCTTGTTCATTGATAATATTATTGAAGCACACGTTGTTCAATATTTATCCATAGATCCAAAGATTTCACAACCATCTGGGCTTCTCACTTTTCCATATCGTTGACAGAGAAAGGGAGATCCCAATCATATAATAATTGGGTGGTGGGTCTTTTCTTATTACATTCATTGCCATTATTTGCATTTATTACATATTCATGTTATCATATTTATTGTCAATCATACAGTATTAAATCCATTATTTAATGCTCTTAAGCGCTACTCGTCTCACGGACATTCTATTTTATTTGGTCTAGAACGTATTAAGCTCAACTAAGATTCGCCCTTTAATTCATCTTTAATTGGTATAGCTAAAAGGTTTAGCACTTTTTTGCTCAAACAATTTGACGCCGTCTGTGGGAAGGTTTTAGTTGAAATTTTAGTTCTTTCTAGATCATAAAAAAGACAACCATCTCATCTTCGTTTGTACAAAATAACGATGGCAGGAAAAGGAGAGGAAAGACAGAAAGCAATAGCAGGTGTCACCACTAACATTTTGAACACCATCAATGAGGATGACAGGGAAAACAACAAGAATGTGACACCAGACGCTACGCTCAGACGGAGTGACTCACCCCCTCCTCATGAAAGTGTAACCGCTTCACGCGAAAGAGGAGCGTCAACATCCACGGTTGAGGAAGCACCGCCAGCAGTAAGAAAATTGTTGAAAGGATGGCTGACGAGTACTCTAAACAACATACTCGACAAACCCATTCAAAGGAAGAATAGAAACACCGCGCAAGCAGATATCACAACGATCACTGGCGAACAGTCCACCCCCCAAACAGGTAACACTTACACCACTGTTGATGCAGGTAACGACGCACTGACAGCCATTTTGAAGAAAATGGAAGAAATGGAAAACAAAAACAAGGCACTCCGCGACCAGATGAGGGAGTACCAAGAAAGGGTCGACAAGATACCGGGCGCCCCAAAGTTGCTACCAAAACGAGACGTTGGCCGGTTTGTCGAACAACCCTACAACGAGGAAGCGGCTCCACATGCCATTCCCAATACCTTCAAAATGCCACCGTACTTGAAGATATACGACGGTACTACAAACCCCGAAGATCACATCATCCATTACGTCACAACGGTGAAGGGCAACGATCTTTCGAAGGAGCAAGTACCATCAGTGTTACTGAAAAAGTTCGGCGAAACCCTAACGGGAGAGCCTTAACCTGGTATTCAAAATTGCCGGCACGGTCAATAACGACGTTCGAGGAAATGGCCGACAAGTTTGTCACCGCCCACGCCGGGGCTAAAAAGGCAGAGGCCAGGGTAAATGATATATTCGCCGTTAGGCAATTGCCTGGCGAGGGACTCGGGGACTTCCTCGCCCGGTTTAACAGGGTGAGAATGAGCCTACCTAATGTATCAGAAGGGATGGAGGTAGCAGCTTTCCAGAACGGGTTGAACAGGAACGGATCGAGAGCAACCAGAAAGTTATTAAGCGGGCTCATAAAATACCCTCCCACCAATTGGGAAGAAATCCACAATGCCTACTGTGCAGAGGTAAGAGCCGACGAGGACGACCTTAACGGTCCGACCCAACGGTTGACGTCAGTTCGAACGGAGTCGAGAAAAGATTGTCGTAACGACGGTCGAAGAGATCAGTTAGGCCCCCGTCTCAACCGAGAAAGACACCAACCCTACGTCAGAACAACCATCCCACCATCTCCTCGACTTGCGGAAAGGCTATCCAGGCCACATACAGGGACTCAGCAAAATGAAAGAGGTATGCCTCCACTCTTATCTGCTCACAATTTTTGTGTTTCCCCTTCAGAAATAGTGTACGCACTAGAGAGGCTCGGCACAAAGGTGAATTGGCCACAAAAGATGAAGTCTGACCCGAGTACCCGAAAGTCGAACGTCCTTTGTGAATTTCACCAGGAGCGGGGGTCATAAAACCGAGGACTGCATAGCTCTACGGCAAGAGGTAGTAAACATGCTGAACCAAGGGCACTTGAGGGAGCTAATGAGCGATCGTGGACGAGCCAACTTCGGCCGCAGATGAGGACAACACCAGCGCCCTCCAAAGCCACCATCCCCTACCCGCACCATCCAAATGATCATCAGCGGAGGTGATGAAGCATCGATCAACCATGTGAAGTTCACCACCATACACAAATTGAAGCGATCGATCACCCATGAACGGTACGACGACCTCGGAGACAGTATCATCTTCGATAAGTCAGATATCGACGGTTTGGCTTTCC